ATATGAGAGAGAAGTTAAGAGATAAAGACGGGGAGAACTGAACAGCTAACTGGAGAGGGGAGAGGAAGAAACACTTGAAGAGGTAAGAATGAGCAACAAATCCACAGATCCAGGACCCTGAGGGGGGCAACCCCGCCTACCAGCCGTGAAAACCTGACAGGAACCCGTGGCATGGGTGTGTCCAGGCAGGAATAACCAAACTGATCAAAGGAACAGAGGACAACCAGCCCCGGACCCACGCGGGTACCAATGCTGGACGCCTGACTGCGGGAGAGGCTCCAGGCCCTGGGGGGAAAGCCAGGCAACTCCATGTCCAGCCAAGAAACAGTGACAGCAGAGCGATCAACACACCACACGCGAAAAGCAATGTCCAGGACACAAAAAGACTTTAACTTGTGAAAGTCAAAACACTAGACTTTTAGAAGAAAATTAGAAAGACCTTCGGTAAGACTTTGGGCAAGGAAGGTTTTCTTCAACAAGACACAAAAAGCTCTAACTATAAGATTGATAAATTTAACATTAAAGTTGAGAATGCCTGTTCACCAAAAATACCTCAAACAAAATGATATAAACCCCAAGTTGGAAGAAGATATTTGCCACATATAGAACCAGGAAATTAATATCCAGGGTAGTTTAAAAGGCCAGTAATTTAAAAATTTAAAAAAACAGAAACTAAAAGACAGCGCAAGACAATTTTATACCTACTAAACCAGCAAAACTTAATAATTCTAGTAATATTAAATATTGATAGAGATGTGGATTAATGGGACTCGAACAAATTAATATAATCTCTTCAGAAAACAATTTAAGTCAAACATTAACCTACTAGGACAGTATATCCCACTCTTAGACTTCTATTCTATAGGATCCTTGCACATATGTAGTGAGTCACACTCAAGAATGCTCAGGGCAGCATGGCTCACGATGGCAAAAAGAAAAAGGAAGAAAAGAAAAAAACCTGAACACTCATCAATAAGAAAACAGATTTAGGGCGCCTGGGTGGCTCAGATGGTTAAGCGTCTGCCTTCGGCTCAGGTCATGATCCCAGGGTCCTGGGATCGAGTCCCGCATCAGGCTCCCTGCTCCTTGGGAGCCTGCTTCTCCCTCTGCCCCCCTCTCTCTCTCTCTCATCTCTCATGAATAAATAAATAAAATCTTTAAAAAAAAAAAAAAGTCAATTGAAAAAAAAAGAAAACAGATTTAAAATTCTGGTATATTCATACTATGAGTTATAACAATGAAAACAAATCCTATACAGGCAATGAGGATAAATCTTAGCAATATAAGAAGCGAAAAAAATCAAGTTACAGAAGACCATCAGTAGTAAAATTCCCTTTTTACAACGCCCCCCCCATCTACATACATTGTTGAGGGGTACACACGAATGTGAAAAACCCAAACTTCGGGCAGGAGGGTCCAGCAGCAAGCTGGAATAGAGAACCACACAATGGCCCAGGATCTTTCGGTTCCTAATTTGGGGGGTGGGCTTAAATGAGTTCACTTCATTGTTATGATTCATGACTAATGTCGCATTCATCTCTTTGAACGATCAACTAGCATACACTAAAAAGTTAAGAGATGTTGTGCTCGCTTCGGCAGCACATATACTAAAATTGGAACGATACAGAGAAGATTAGCACGGCCCCTGCGCAAGGATGACACGCAAATTCGTGAAGCGTTCCATATTTAAAAAAAAAAAAGTTAAGAGATGTTTTCTACACATATGTATATATCCAGTGCTGGATCATAACAGCAGCAGCTGGTATCAAACCAAAAGACTAAGAAGCAAAAGAGAAAATAGCAAACTACTAGAACGTATTGCTTTCCTTCTCTAAGCATCTAAATGGACTAATTATTTCTAAAATAAATAACAACATCATGTTTTCATTTCTATTTCTACAACCAACCTATTGACAAAGCACAGAGACTTGCTTATAGCTTCAGACTATATTGTGAATGTTATAGAACTCTGATTTGCAAAAAACCAAAAACATGACTCTTCAGACTACAGCAGGATGTAAATTTATTAGTAAATTGTAAATATACTAATAAAACTCTTTAAAATACATTGTAAGTATTATAAAAGTTGACTTTGTACAAGAAGAGGGACAGGAGGGAGGGAAGTGAAGGCAGGGTAAGGGCCAATGCTTGGTCTTGCATGGGAGGAGGGAGATTAAGTCGTGTCTAAAGCTGACAAATCAAGTTGATGTAAGAAAGCCAAATCGTTTTTCCCGTTGTGGCTTCTGTGCCCTCTGTGGTCGGCCACGTGCCAATTAGCATTGCACACCACATCCACGCCACGTGGAACAGAGGCCCACAGCACCTCTGCAGAGCCACCCAGCGCCTCCAGCTCCACAGGCACAGGCCGGCCTCTGAGAACACAGAGCCTGGCTTCACACAACCTTAGATCACTCCTTTTTCACAGGTTTAATTCAAAGGCTAACCAGAAACTCCTGCCCGTCCAGCCCTAAGTCTTTAGAACAGTTTTCCTGGGTTTTGGGGTTTTTTGTACCTGTTCCGAGCAGATGATATAGGACGTTGAACCCAGAGAGGACCTGGTGGTGCCTCAGAGTGATCCTATTGCTGTTGCTAGTTTTGATTTCAGAAGGCATGAGCGACCCCCCTCAGACCAAAGAGATTCGCAGGGAGTTTCTGGGAAACTATTCTGAGCTTATGGGTGAACTTCTGGAAGCAACCATCTTTCTCTCACAAGCTAGGAAGCAAAGAGCTCCAGTTGCTCCCACCACTGCTGTACCACCAGGAGCAGAACCAGCCTCAGGATGAAGCCAACACGGTGGACAGCAGGGCATAAGACAGCAAGGATGTCCTTTTGAGGATAAACCTACCCTAAAATCTGCCTTGCTCTGGACTTCAGGTTTAGGGGCCAATAACTACTCACCCCCAGAGCCTTTCTGGGACTGTGTTTCTGTTTCTCACCTGGAGGCATCCTAAAGAATATCTAGGATGATGGCTGCTGTGATGGAGGATGTAAGCAAGGGGCATTTCCCAGACCTGAAGGGTCAACAAGGGTTTCCTGGAGGAGGCACCAGCAGAGCTGAGCACGGAAAGGGGAGTGAAGAAGCCTTGCAGGCAGACAGAGGCACCCAAAGACAAAGGTTCCCACAGCACCCTCGGGGAGGAGTAGGTGGGCACGGGCCTGAAGAAGTCAGATCTAACTCCAGGGCCTCCTATGCCTGCCCAGGCAGTCTGGACTTTTTCCCAAAGATCGACTTTAAAGGGGTCTATGCTTGGGAGTAACATGACCAGATACGCAGTCTACAAAGATCACTCCAGGGGCAGGGGCCTGGGGAGGGAGGAGGGAGGCTACAGCAATACAGGCAAGAAATATGAGGTCTTAAGTCATACCAATGGCAGAAAGGTGGAGTGGGGAACACATAAGACCATTTGGCACAGGACTGACCTAGATTCACTGGGTGATGAGGCGCGGAAAGGAAGGCACTGAAAGGTGTCAAGACCGCATCCCGAGGTCCGCGCTCAGGCCGCCGCCGTTGTCTGGGGAAAGAACCAGTGAAGAGGGGACTGTGGATAAGGCCAGGTATGTATGGGACAGCCCGGTGGAGACGTCTGGCAGGAGTGCGTGCACACAGATCTGCCGGCGCCGGAGAGCCGCTGGGAACCGCAGAGAACCGCCCGCGCTCCCGGGGCTCCCGCACGCGCCTTCCCGCAGGACGGCAGGCAACCGAACGTCAACAAAACGCACGCGGCCAGCTCCGGGATGGAGGGTGCGCCGGGGGGCTTAGGCCCCGGCGCGGCCCCGGAGGGAAGGTGCGGCCCGGTCCCCCTCGGGTCCCCCGGCCAGGGCGCCGCAAACGGTCGCAAGGCGGCAGCGAGCCACCACCGGCCGGAGCTGCACGGAGGGAGGGCGGGAGCGCAGGGCTCGGCTGGGGCTCATCCACCGGCCGCGCCAGGAGCCCCGGGGGCCTGGGCCCGCTCTCCCGAGCGCAGGTATCTCATCTGGGGCCTGCCAGGGTCACCCAGCCAAAATCGCTTCACCGCGCGGGGAGGGAGCTGATCCTCGCCTCTGGCCCACCGGCCAATCGTAGAACAACTCGTGTCGATTGACAGGCCCTCCGAGCCAACCACTAGCGACCGTGGGCGGGACTCAGCGAGCCCTAGCGGAGAAGCCCGCGCAAACGGTTGCTAGGGACGCACCGGACTCCCTTTACGGCGCCTCGGAGGAACCAAAAGAGACGGCGCCTCAGCCCTCCCGGTCTGACCGACTTCGTTTCCTCCGGTCTCCGAATCCCGAAGGGTGAGCAGCGCGCTGCTCCCCTCTCTGAGGCCTCGAAGGCGGGGGGCGCAAGGAGGCTCCCTCACGGCCAGGCACGCCCGCGGGGCCGAGGGGCCGACGGAGGCTGCGGCCCGCAGTGGACTGGGTCGACGTCCTGGACGCCGATAGGCTGTCTCCGCACCTGCGGACGGAGTTGGCCCCCCGGTGCCCCGGCCCCTGGCCTCGGCTCCGACCCCGGCACGAGCGCGGACGCCCAGCGCTGAGCGTTAACTGGAGGCGGTCCCTTCTCACGGGCTAAGTCCGCGCGGCGACGTCGGGACGAAGTCGGCCAGTGTACAGACGCAGCCGCTGAGGCCCGGAGGGGCCGGCACGCACTTGACTGGCCCGCACCTTGCAGCCCCACGCAGAGACCCTCCACGAGCCCACGTGCCCCCAGCATCTCCCAGATTCTTCTCTCCGCTCCCCTGCAGCCACGGTTCCGTGCGTGCGGCCCCGACCGCCCCTGTCTTCTTCCCCGCTCCTCGCCTCCAGAAGCCTCCAGTGTGCTCTCGGATTACCTGTCCCGAGGAGGTGAGGCTGGCTACTCCTGCTGCTGAGGACCGCATGGCCTCTAGGGTGAACTACAATTCCCATGAGGCGCTGAGGCTGCGCAGGCGCGTCGGGGTTCAAACCTGGGGTGGGATTCCATTGGCTGAGCCAGCACTGAGTCGGGAGCCCTGATTGGCTGAGGGGCCTGAGGCGACAGATTCCGGAAAGGGGAAGAGCAGCCAACATGGCGGCGGAACGCGGCGCGGGCCAGCAACAGTCGCAGGAGATGATGGAGGGTGAGCGGCTCCGTGGGGCGGCGGCCCAAGGGCCCAGCGGGCTGGGGGGCGGCGGCCCGCACCGGCCTTGCCTGAGAGAAACGGGCCGTTTCGCCTCTGGCCGTAACCTGAGCCGCGCCGCGCCCTGACAGTTGCCAGCCGGCTCGGTGGGGCAGGGGCGGCCCGGGACCCGGGGACCCCGGGAGGAGGCTGCAGTGGCCAGGAAGGCGCGGGCGGCCGGGAGGCGCCAAACCCAAGGCCGGGGGGGAACAGCGGCGCGGGCGGGTAGGTGGGTACTGACGACGCTGGTCCGGCTGCCCGGGTGTCCACAGGCTGGTGGGAGCCTGGCACCGAACCTCTGAGCCTGGCCCGCCGGGTCTGTCCCCCGGGCAGCTATCGGGGAAACTGAGGCGCAGAGCGCCGTGGGGCCTGCCCGAGTCGGCTCATGGGTGAACATGGTGGAGGTGGAGGAGGGTTCTCTCGTAAGCGAATGGGTTGTGGGGAAGTGGTGGAAAGGAGCCGAGAAATTGAATTATTAAACAGCGGAAGCCTGCTTTCAAAGCTATCAGAGTTCCGAAAAGACTAAATTCAACTCTTTAGTTTTGTTGAAAAAAGTCATTTGCATATTATATGTGCTTGTAGTTATACAGACACACCAGTTGGAGAGTCAGTCATGTCTTGGAGTGCTTACATGCTTTTGGTCTCCGCTGGTTGGGGGTGGGTGGGGGGAGGTACAGAGCCCCAGAAGAAAGCCACTGTTTTATGTGTAAAGTGCTAGGGAAGAAGGATGGGCGGTGGGGTGCGAAGGAAGAGCTGGTATGTTTGGTGGAGTGATGGCTGCCCAACCAAATCCAGCTCTGAGCTGAACCTTGAAGGATAACTACAAATCACCAGGTTGGAGAAACATCAAAGATCATTTCAGTTTAAGAAAGACAAAAGCAAAGTGCTGTGAAAGAAAGTGGCCTGTTTAGAACAACATTTGACCAAGAGTGACAGTCCTGTTGGAGGAGGGTGGCAAGAGAAGGCCGTGGAGTACCTTGGTGAAGGGTCTTGGATCTTTTTTAAGCAAGGAAGCACCTCTTCCTATCCCCCCCTCCTCGACACCCCTCCTCCCAGACTACTCCTTCTTCTTCACCTGTTTCCATGTCTTGGTAAATGGCAAATACAAAACATAGGTGATTCTCTCTCTCCCACTCCCACCCGTCCAATTAATCTGATGCCTCTATATCCTTAATATCTACAGGTCTTCAATACCCCTTCCCTTCCCACTGCCAATACTTTGAGCCAGCCCATTGTTCCCAGTATCCCAAAGTTGCCTTGTATTTGGATCTACTATCTCATGCTCCAGACCCTCTGCTACCTTCAGAATAGAGTCCCACATTTCACTTTGGCTGCCCTTCATTAGCTCAGTCCCTGCCACCCTGGTCACAGCCACACCACACCCAGTAGAATTTGCTCTCTCTTAGCCTTGGCCACAGAGTGCCCTGTGCCTGGTGATAACTAACTACCAAGTGTTTACTCCATGTCATGCAGATGCTGACTGCTTTTGTGCCTTTTCTACTTTAGTCCTGATAGCACCTCTGGTCTATGGGTCCTATTCTAGCCTCCTTGTACAGATGCGGAGAGTGAGGCTTGGAAAAGCAAACAGCCTGTGTCTCTATGGGCGAGGCGAAATCTCAGCAGGAGTGACTGGCATTCCAGAAACTTCTGGAGTTGGGGCACCTCAGTGGCTCAGTCAGTTAAGCGTCTGCCGTCTGGTCAGGTCATGATCCCAGAGTTCTGGGATCAAGTCCCGCATCTTTTGGGCTTCTTGCACAGCAAGGAGCCTGCCTCTCCCTTTCCCTCTGCCTGCTGCCACTCCCCCTTCTTGTGCTCTCTCTGTCTCTCTCTGTCAAATAAATAAATAAAATCTTTAAAAAAAAAAAGTAAAAACTTTTAGAGTCAAAGATCAGATTTGGGTTTTAGAATCACATCAGATTCTCTAGTAATGCAGAATAGATTAGACAGAGCCAGAAAAGCCACAGAAAGACCAGTTAGGAGACCAGGCAGGAGCCCAGGCAGTTGCCAGGGTGGGGAAGAAGGAATGGATTTGGAGGTTTGGGAGGTGGATTTCATAAGGACTTGGTTTTATCCAGCACTCCTTCCCTGGGTGCTACTTTTCTCAGCCCAGGAGGAGATACAAAGAAGAAATAAAACTTCCTTTCCTCAAAGAGCACACCCCTTTGTGGACAAACTGTAGTCAGGAAAGAAAATACTTTCAGTATTGTTGATAACTCCCAGTAACTTATTACTGTTTCAGCTCTTCGAGATAGACTTCCAAGGAAGATCATGAAAAAAGCTGGAAAAAGGAAAATAATTGACAGTCTTACCAAAGAATTTTTACCACTCTGCCATATTTAGTCATTGCCTTATTTATTAATTCAAAAAATATTTATTTACCAGCCTTTTAAAGCTGGTATTGCTGTGTGCAGATGTGTGGCACCGGTGACCTTTATGTGGGGCATTTGGCACTATTGGCTGTCTCCTCCTTTTTCATTACAGCCCCCCCTTTGCCCACAGTCTGATTTGAGTTAGTCTTGATTTCTTTCAGAACGTGGGCCTGTGAACTGGGCTGGTTTTCTTGGCCAAATGGATAGTGGAGCATGGATGAAGGTATGTGGTGGAAGGGTCACAATGGTCCCCTCTATGTGGACGTCCAGGCCAAAAGCGAGCCACACAGGAGGTGCTTCACTGTGTCACCCATGAGTACGCTTGGTCACAGATGATCCAGGGCTTTTGTAACACCTGGAAATTCTTCACAATTTCCTTGAGGGCAGGAAGAATATGTTAATCATCTTAGTACCCATGTGTCCTCCCTGCTCTGCCCTCCCCCACAGAAGTTGTCCCCACCACTGTACACCTCAGGTGGTGCCCAAGCAGGAAAGACACTCGTGTTTGTTGAGCTGACTTCAATAAATGTTTCTCAATGAAGTCTTTTTGACTTACAGCTGGATGTCCGTCTGTTAAATGTTCTTCAGGGAGTCACATAAAGTGGCTGTGAATTCTTATGGATGTGTGTGGGCTCAGTTGACAGGCGAGTCGAATCTGAAGAGTCTGGCGATGAGGAAGGGAAGAAGCAGAGCAGCGGTATAGTGGCGGACCTCAGTGAGCACAGCCTAAAGGATGGAGAGGAGCAGGGGGCAGAGGACCCAGAAGGTACCAGGCCGAGTTAAGAGCCTTAAACTCTCTAAGGGGGAGGGTGTGGCCATGTTGCATATGATCTGCCCAACTCCACCCCACCTCCTTGTGTGGTGGAGAGGCGAGGGCCGTGGGAGGACTGCTATGGGCAGTGGGAGGACTGCTGTGCGAGAGGGGCATTCGTTTGGCTGACTCTTGATCTGCTGATGCAGCACTAGAGGCCCAGTGGGGGCTGGTGGCCGTGTGCTCTCGGAGCAGTGCGCCCACCAAGGCACTCCCTTCGTGAGCTGACTGGTTTACGGCACTTGCAAGCAGGATGCATTTTTTTTTTTTTTTTTTTTTTTTAGTTCCACTGAAGGCAAATGCTACTAATAACGTTAGTACTGGAGTATCATCTGGAACAGAACCAGAAAATTATTTTATTAACCATATATTCAGGAAGTGAGATTTGAAAAAAAAATTTTTTTGTTGACGATGCTTTTGTTTCCTATCATAGTAATGTAAACCCAATTTCAGAATAAAATACTTCTAGTATTTTAGAGAAGTCATTTCTAAGTCGTGCTTCACCATAGGAGAGACCTGAGGATTGACTTCTAAATTGCCAAGATGTTAGGAAAATAGTTTCATGCAGAAAATATCTCAGCAGCCTCCTATTGTTTTAGTGATTAAAAAGTAAGTTTTAAAGTAAAATTAAAAAGTGATGAGAAAAGTAAGTTCTCAGTCCATAATGGTGGCTTTTCACCCTCCCCAACCATGATCCTTATTGGTTTGGTTAGAAAAACCGATTTACATTGAAAAGAATGAGAGAGGGCATATGAACAGACAGAAAGAAGTCTAAGATACATTATTAGGTGAGAACAGCACATTTCCAAACAGTACGCATGTTTTAAAGTCTTATTGTTAGAATTACTAATTTTATGTAAGTTTTAACCTACTTTAAAGTCTTAACTAACATCAAACTGCAGTTGAAGGTCTCTGAATAACAGGTTTGAGAGGATGTTGTATCTTCTGCATTGTCTAGATTTATACACGTTGTATGGATTTTTAAGGTAGTAATAGTCATGCTCTACCCTTATGGTAATAAAACCCACAAATTCTAAAAAAACAAAACTAATTTTTAAAATAACATTGTGCTCTGTGTCAGTGAAGATGATTGGTAACTATAGCAACCTAATTTTAAGGCTAAGGGAGATTACCACAAAGTATCAGCCACATTTACTTTGGAGCTCCAGAGTCGATATTCTGGAAGCAGCGTGGGTGGAATAAGTACATGGGAGTGATGGAGGAAAGCTTTCGTTATGTCTGAGTCACGGAAAGACCAAGCGGGTGGGAGCGTCACCTGCTCTCCCATCTGAACATCTGGCGCTTTTGGAGGACTGGAGAGTCGGTGGGGCCCTGTCCTGGGGATTTCTCCTCCTGGGTGGTGAGCACAGGCTCCCAGTGGCTCGCCCAGGGGCTCACGGTGACAAAGTAGAGCAGCTGGACTCAAACCCAGCTTGTCCAAATCCAGCATTCTTTCAGACTACTAGCTGATTAAAAGCACTCTGGAAAATCTTAAAGGGGGCAGTGGGGTGGGCGCCTGGGTGGCTCAGTCGGTATGCCACTGCCTTCGGCTCAGGTCATGATCCCAGGGTCCTGGGATTGAGTCTCCCATCAGGCTCCCTGCTCCGCGGGAAGCCTACTTCTCCCTCTGCCCCTCCCCGCTGGTCCTGTGCGTGCTGTCTCTCAAATAAATAAAATCTTTTAAAAAAAAAAAAAAAGCACTCTGGAAATATGCAGTTTTATAAGTCCTTGAGAGAAACCAGGACTCACTGTGCTCCCACCTGTATTTATTTATAAAGTCCTAAGTTCAAATAAAATTCAAACGTGTCAACTGTTACCTTTCACTTATTTTCCGTAACTTATTTTAAAAAACAAGAAAAAAAGATGAATACATGTACATTTGGGGAAACATTCTAGGCTGGCGACTGTTGCAGAGGTTAAGCTGTTGTTTTGAGGGGCCTGTCCTGAGTGCCAGGCATGTTACAGACACAACCACATTAAGCTGTGTGACCACCTGTCCTAAGGAGCGCAGACCCGGTTTCTACCCACCGGCTGTGCTCGACTGTCTGCAGTGGTGCCTTGCACTCTCACGGTGTCCTGGTTTGGACGCTGGGTGGCCTGGACACCTGCCTTCATTGTGCTGCCTCTCTCATCACAGCTTCCAGAGTTCATGGACCTTGGACTTGTGTGTCTGGGGGTGAGGAGTAATTTGGGTATATCTCTTGGTTTTGCCCAGCTCCTTTTATTTCATTCCTAGGTTGGTTGATATAAAGTTAGAGCAAATAATTCTAGTAAATAATAAACTAGAGTAAATGACATATTTTGTTGACTAGCCATTGTTGATTGTTATGGAGAAGGTGTGGTGAGGAGACTGAATTCAGCCAGTGCCAGCCAATGCTGCTTTGTTAAGAGCGGACCCTGTTGTGGTGCAAACAGGGTCCGTCCGCTGTTAAGTGCACCTCTCTACAGCCTCCAGTCGAGGGGCCAGGCTGGCCAGCAGACGGAGCGGACCCCTGTCGTCGGGTGGCACCGGGAGCGTGAGGTCTGAGGGCTGCAGGCCCGTTCCACAGCAGAAGCAGATGCAGCTTTGCTGCAGGGGAGGGGTAGCAGTAGGAGCCAGGTAAAAGTAGCCGTGGGGACAGCGGGTTTCCAGGAGAGCAGGAACCACATGCTCCCCAGAAGTGTGGCAAGCCAGGCGGCCCAGTTTCCTCAGAGAGCCAGAAGGGACATTAGAGAAATGTCATCCAGTCACAATACATGACCTTCTTCAGATCCTAATACAAGCAGACTGAGGGGAGAAATCGTCAGACAGTTGATGAAATCCAAGAATCACTGTTAAACTTTCTTAAAGCATTGAGCTGTTTTTAGACATGCACACTTCCATCAGCTCAGGGGAAACGAAGACCAGGAAGCAACTGATTCCAGGCCGTTAGCTCCGCAGCCTGAGCGCATCTCACAGCTCTCCCCCGGCACTGGGGCAGGGGGGCCTCTGCTGGGATTAGCTCGTGCCTCCAGTGGAGAAGTGTGTTTAAATCGGTCAGGGCTCTCCAGTCCCTCTGTCGAGCTGTGCTTTGTTTTGGTTTCCTCTTTGCAGAGATAAGTGGTTTATAGACAACGAGGCCACTTTCCAAAGCAATAAAAGGCACATCCTAGAACATCTGACATGCCCAGCAGGAGCTATATTCAGATGGTCTGATTGATTGCCACAGACAAGAAAGGAGAGGGCAGGCCGCTGCCAGCTGGGCAGCTCTGGGCGGATCCCCTACTGCTGACTGGGCTCACCTGAGGCTCCATCGGCCAACCCCCTCCTTCCTGCAAACAGCTGCAGGCTACATTTCCTTTCCTGGCAAGTTCAGTGGCACAGATGAAAGTTTGGAGACCTTTGCCAGGAGCCGAGTTCAGGAACATCTGAATGCTTGAAAGGTGACCGTGACGAGCAGGGCGTTAACCCTGCCGTGCCATCCGGAGCCTCCGTGTACCGCCGCATGGCTTCTGCTGTGCATGACTTGGTGCTGAGCCAGGCAGCCCAGGTCCCAGTGCCACGGACACTAAGGCTCTGAATGGGCTTTGTTTTTCCTTCTCATTTTTTCAGAAGGACAAGAGCTGCCTGTGGATATGGAAACTATCAACCTGGACAGAGATGCAGAGGTAATGCTACCTGCTGGACGCAGCCGCGGGGGGCATGGTGATGGACCACTCTGACTGTGAGGGTATCTTTTACGGAGGTGCCAGATTAGTAAGTGATTTCCTAGGCGAGGTCATCTGAGCCCTGCTTGGTTGGATCAGACTCCTTGTGTCCTGCTTGTTTCTAATACCAGTGACTAAAACCCCAGCCCTGTGTAACCAGAGGGTTGGGTGACCGATGAATCGCCCTTGTCACCTAAGTGACACGAGTGGGTCAGGTGATTACTTTGTCCGTGGCAGGGCCTCGACCTCCCCAGCATCTGACGCGCACTGAACACTGGCAGCTCCAGGCAGGCGGGAGACCACCAGGAAGCATCACCCTGGTGCCCCACCCCCACCCCCCACCCCAAGTCCGCAGCTGACGGCGGGTGCCTAGGCCTGTGTTTGCGCTCAGGGGGCTGTGGGGCGAGAGGCTTTACGCACTGCTCATTTTTATGTCAAACTGCCAACAAGCATCTTGCAGCCGTCCTCTGTGTCACTGTCACCTGTCTGCAGGCTCGCTGGTGTCTCCTCACCCTCCCCTGCACCCACCTCGCCGGCCCCCCTCCACTCCTGCTCCAGGAAGCAGGTCTTCAGATGCTTCTCTGCAGCTGGATTTCTTCTTCATTTCAGGATGTTGATCTGAATCACTACCGCATTGGGAAGATTGAGGGGTTCGAGGTGCTGAAGAAAGTGAAGGTGAGGGCGACTCTGTCCTTCCTCTGGAGGGGATGCTGACACCCCAGAGCCCATCCTCCCGACAATTGAGGGTCGGTTCTGCAGAAGCTGCTGGCCTGTGTCCCAAGCTGCTCTCGGCACTTTTTATCCTAAACACGGTTAGGTTTACAACACAGTCCAGGCCAGTGGGCGCACCCCGAGGCCAGCCGATGAGCCAGTGCAGAGCCTGCCTACAGTCAAGCACACCCCGGACTGTGTAGTCCTTACCTCGTTGCAGTTAAATTTGTTCAGAATTGAGCCCACTAGCAGTTTGCTCTGCTGGGAAACAGCACACACCCCCAACCCTGACCAATGCCTCCCTCAGCACGGAGGTCTGCTCAGTGCGAGGCCTGCCTCCAGCCTCCCTTTGGGTGTCTGCCCATCCTCTCCAAGGTCAGCACATTTCTAGAAGACAACAGGAGGATGAGAACCTCCCCCCTGCCCTGGGAGGCCGGTCCTGTAACACAGCTGGCATCTCACGGCCTCCCCGTTGCCTGTGTCAACTGTCCTTTTTCATCCCTCAGACTCTCTGCCTCCGTCAGAATTTAATTAAATGCATTGAAAATCTGGAGGAGTTACAGAGTCTGCGAGAGCTGGATCTTTATGACAACCAAATCAAGAAGATTGAGAATCTGGAGGCGCTAACACAGTTGGAGTGAGTCATGAGTCTGGGGGACGACTGAGGGGCTTGTTCAGTCTCCCCAGAACCAAGCCTGGGCCCCGGCTCTCAGCCCTGGGGGGCCACCTCTGCCACAGGGTCCTGCCCAGCACCCGGCTCCATAGGTGGCATTGACGGGTCCGGTCCAGGGCCAGCACAATTTTCATCCTCGATGCAGTGCTGAGAGCCTGGCGGGCAGCTGGGGTGGTATGTGGCCCACCTGGTGGGGGGGCTGCCTCCAGCTTAGTTGCATTTTGAGCTCCATGCCACCTGTGCTCATTTAAAAATGAAATGTTTTGCTTATTCTCAGGATTCTAGATATTTCTTTCAATCTGCTGAGAAACATTGAAGGAGTTGAAAAGCTGACGCGACTGAAGAAGCTCTTCCTGGTTAACAATAAAATCAGTAAAATTGAGAACGTAAGCAACTTACACCAGCTGCAGATGCTGGAGCTGGGGTCCAACCGCATCCGGGTAGGTACGGGTGCATGGCCAGGGGTCTGGCCTCTGGGACTGGCGGTGATGGGCGCTAGGTGTGTGCTTGGCTAAGTGTTCCTATGGTGTGATTTTATTTTCCAGGAAGAGAATGCCAACTGCAGATCAGTGTTAATAAGAACATGTGCTCAAACTCTGTGGTCTAGCCCATTTTCTGCACATAAATTTTACTTGCTCTTCATCCAGATCACAACCTAAACCTTAGCAAAGCATCCCAGTTGCATTCTGCCCGAGTGAAGCACTTTGGTTTTACATATGCTGAGGGTTGTGTTCTTTGGTGAGCCTCTCTGAGATGACAGTGTCCCAGACACAGCAGAGTGGTGGCTTGTAGCGACCCGACTTCCACACAGCGGCCGTAGGAAGCATGTTGCAGCTTGGTGCGTGGTTGGCCCATCCTCCCTGGACAGCTTCGTACAACTGGGATACGCCCCACAGCAGCCTTACATCCTGCCACGCTCTGTCAGACCCGGCCTCTGGGAGCATTGGGCAGAGTAGACAGAAGAGGCTTTGGGAAAGAGGTTTGGTGTCCATAGGAGCAGCCCTTTACCCATCTGACGATAGCTGCCGAGCAGAACCCGTGGTGAGAAACGCAGACGGGGTCACAGAAGGACAGACATCGGGGTGGGGAGAGTGGCGACGGCGGTTTGCCGGCAAAGAGGAGGAAGGGTCAGCAGGACAGTAATGAGGATATCTGCTAGCCAGAAGACCACTCGATGCCCACCTGCCATCCCAGTGAAGCCAGTGGTCCAAGCACTTCTTCCCCCACCTCTGTGGTGCAAACAGCCTCCATCTGGCTGTTGATTGTTCACAGCACCCTGCAATCAGCCAGCTTGGCCCTTGAGAGCTGGGCAGGATGCAAACCCAGGAGGGCCTCTTGGGACAGTTGTGAGCAGTCACATGGCCCCCGTAGCAAAGTAACACATTTAAAACTAGAGAGTGAAGAGTGGCCCAGATGTCGGCATTTTATCAAGTGTCTCTCTCTGCGGTGTTACTAGGAGGAAGGTGGTTCATCACAGATCAGCGTAGCTAATAGCAGTTAAGGATGCCCTCCCCCTGAATCCTCAATCCTGCTGTGATGTGCAAGGTGGGATGCACCTGCCTTCGGCACCTGCTGGTGGGTCGGTGTGTGCTGCAAAAGCTGACAGCTTGCTGAGAGGCAGCAGCAAACTCAGGAGGGAAGCAGGTCGAGTCAGCATGTCCTAGACCCCCTGCTCTCCGCCCGGCACTGGCATTGACAGTTGACTAGAGGAGCACAAGATCCTGGCAAGGAGGGAGGGTAGTAGACCCTGAGATGGGGGACAGGGCCATGGAATGGGGGCGCCTGCTCCCAGGAATCCTGGGTGGCGTCCTGAGGTCAGAGCCGCTTCTGGGGAGACCTAGGCTCTTGGAATGCATTTTAACGAACCCTACGTGGAATTACATGATAACGTGTCAACTCAGAACTTTAGCACTTGGTAGGGGACTGCTCATCTGTGGATGTCCCCTGACCTCGAGCTCTGTGAGGGTTGGGGGTGAGCCTAGGAGACAAGGCCTTGGACTATCCACCTTTTAAGTGAGATTTCACTGGAGAATTTCCAGAGTGGACAAGTAACTGGCCCACATCCCAGGGCTGCAGTCCGAACAGCTGTGTCTCCTCGCCCGGGCCCCTCACCTACCCTGGTCTAGCTGGTGGGCCACACAGTGTTAACTGCTACCCTGTCTTTTTCACAGGCAATTGAAAATATTGACACGTTAACCAGTCTGGAGAGTTTGTTTTTGGGGAAAAACAAGATCACTAAACTTCAGAACCTGGATGCACTTACCAACTTGACAGTGCTCAGTATGCAGGTACCGACCTGCCTTTATGCCCATCTGGCCAAGCCCCAGCCGGGGCGGGACTGCCCAATACCCTGCCTGTTTGTCTTTCCCCATGTCCAGGATCAGTGCTCCCTTCACCAGCAGGGAGCAATTGAAATGTCAGGTTTCAGAGACTTACGCGTCCATACACATAAAATTTCCTTCCCTGGGTGGTTTCTAGCCACAGGGTTGTCTTAAGAGGGTTGAGCTTGTGCCAAGGCCTCCTGAAGTGTCTGACTCAGTGGTGGAAGCTTCCATGCCCTCACGGAGAGCAGAGCCCTGTGTTTGCGAGTAGGCAAGCACCTGAGTATGCCTGGGTTCACACCGCGTTTTGTGCTGGAAGCAGGTGGGTGGAACCAGGCCCTTGAGGCAAGGTGTGGTGGCGTGTGCTAGGCGTGGCAGGTCTCCCCAAATCACTTGTGCCTTTCATAAAGCAAACATTATGCAGACTTTTTTTTTAAAAAGGACTGTATACTCTGAGTTACAATATATATTAAAAGAAATAAATAATTTATTTTAAAATATTCAGTGGATTTGACATTTTTGAATTGCTAAGTTATGGGGGTAGACCTTCCCTAAGCACATCTAAAGAAGTGTTCTTTACCTAAAAGCCTCTAACTCTCACACATGCATTTTAGCCAGTGCAGCAGACTCAGAATCTTGACCTCTCTCTCCAGCAAGTTCCATTCCAGCACACTGGGAGTGCAGGGCTAGTGTTAGGCCTCTTCTGGACAAGAGGTATCCTCCCCTAAAAGCCATTTTGTCTCCCCACTCCGTGCTGTTCTGACGGCTGTTGGCCCTCCCTCTCGCAGAGCAACCGGCTGACCAAGATGGAGGGTCTGCAGAGCCTGGTGAACCTTCGAGAGCTGTACCTGAGCCACAACGGCATCGAGGTCATCGAGGGCCTGGAGAACAATGTAAGACGTCTGTGTGTCTGGCCGGGGCGGTGCGGGTTAGGCCTGGTTTGAAGAAGACTCGTTGCCTCTCGAGGTTTATGGTCGAGACCGTCCCCGCGCACACTGGGATGCACATGAAGCTCGTGCAGTCTTCCCTCTCCCCGCGAAGGCATGTGGTGCTGGTGCTCCACGCTGCGGTCAGCACCGGGACCTCCGGGGCAGGGTGCACTGTGCGGTCCGCAGCGGCACCACGGCCTTTCCCCAGGTGTCCTAGCCTGCAGAGGGCTGGCAGGTGTCAGCGGCTCTCCCTCCCTCCCCATCCTGCCCACTGCACTTCCTGCCCCTCTGCTTTCCAGACCACAGGGGCCATGGGACCTCAGCTTTGAACTGAGTCCCCGCACCTTCCTCCTCCTCCCTGCTTTTCAGCCGCCCTCGCAGGGTTGAGAAGGGCCTGTCCACCTCCCAGGGATAGTCCTGCTCCTGCCCCGCACAGGACAGTCTTAGATGCGCTGAGCAGGGAGGGCAGGCGGCACTCAGCTGCCTGTTGGCAAGCCTACTTTTCCTCCCTGCAGTATTCAAGACAAATAAAAGACTTTCTCTCATTCAATTTTACTGGGGGTTTTTTTTTCTGTTTTGTTTATTGCCAGCAAAGGTAACGATCTGGTTACTTTGGTTATTGTAAACTTAGCACTTCAGTCTTAGTAGAGGCTCCTTTGGCCTCTGTGCCTCAGCCCCTGGGTCTAGTCACTGTTAGTAATGTTTTAGAGGGAAAACCATGTTCTGAATTTCATTTTACCACTAACTAGAAGTTTCGAGGAGTGAGAATTGGGCCCGTGGTAAGTGTAGTCGCCTTCCTTCACCTTGCAGTCCGGTTGAGAGCTTACCAGACTGGCGTGTCCGCCGGGCGCACTTGGGCAGTGCAGAGCGGTGGGCGGAGGCAGGGTGGTGAGAGGCCGGGCTCTACGGAGGCCCTGAGAGCGCAGTCGGCAGGGCGTGCACCTGTCCAGCCTGAGGGGCCCGCGCCCATGGCAAGCTGTGGGTCCCCCCACCCCATGCCCCCCAGGATCGGAGGAGGGTAGTATCTGCAGCACAGGCAACGGAGCGCAGGTCCCCAGCAAATAGGAAAGAAGTGAGAGTGTAGAATTTTCCGGTAGCCGTGCTACGCTGTGGTCTGGGTTCAACTCCAGATCATTGTTGGGCCTCTGAACAAAACAGAAAAAAAAAAAGAAAAAAAGGAAAAGGCAGTTGTGGCTTTAAAGGTAATTATGTTATTAGAACATTTATCATTGGTCCAACGTGACAGTCTCCTCAGGGCTTCGTTCAATTGGAGATCAAATGTTCATTTAAGTTTCCTCTCTTAAATTGATCTGGAATTTATTTTTGTTCTGGGAGGTAAGGAAGTAAATGGTAAATGTATGTTTTTCCCAAGTGGCAAATCCCCTGTCCCAGCACCACTGGCAATGCCACCTTCCCTCCCCGCCGCCCCCCGCTGCCCGCGCACAGTTGTCTGCGGCGTGTCACTGCACAGTGGACGCCCCGTCTGCTGTGCTTGCTCCCCGCCCCGCCCGGTTCCTCCTCTTTTTTTAAAGCAATTCCCTACTGGTTTGCTTTTGGATGAGCTTTCAAAACCCTGTCCAGCTCCGCCCAAAAAAACAAGACCGTGTTGAGCACATAACTGAGTCCCTGTGCTCAGAGGCCCAGGACCAGTCCTGTCAGCCACAATGCCCCGGTGCTGAGCGTTCGCACGGGGCCCACAGCACGATCGAAGCACGCTCATCCGATGACACCAAGCACCGCAGGATGGGCTCGGAGGGCTGGAGATCGCTGTGGTGGCGGCCCCAGCTTGGCACTGCCTGCTGCCCGCCCTCTCATGCCAAGTTCCCCGAAGTCCCTGTTGGCTGCAACCCCGCCAGGCCCCCAGGCGGGAGGCTCCTGTCACGCTGCACTCTCACACAGCAGTCTGAGTGCGTGACAGGCCCCACACAAGCTACTCAGAGGAGCTCCTCACCCAGCTGCCACGTGACACGGCGTGGCCCCTGTGGCTTCCTGGAGGGTGACTGGCCAGCGCTCTTGCTGGCTGACGTTGCGGGGGCAGAGGGGACAGGCAGGGGCGGACCCTCAAGGGGTCAGAGACCAGGGCCGGAGCCCTTCTGAGTCAGCACGGCGCCGCCTGCGGGCTGGTGTGTGTTCATGGGTAGACAAGAAGGGATGAACACTTATCAGTGGCTGTCAACCAACTTCTAAATGTTTCCCTTTTTTTTTTTTTTTAAGATTTTATTTATTTGACAGAGAGAGAGACACAGCGAGAGAGGGAACACAAGCAGGTGGAGTGGGAGAGGGAGAAGTAGGCTTCCCACTGAGCAGGGAGCCCAATGCAGGGCTCGATCCCAGGACCCTGGGATCATGACCTGAGCTGAAGGCAGACGCTTAACGCCTGAGCCACCCAGGCGCCCCTCCCTTTTGATTTTAGAAAAATTTGTCGGTTGGTTTGATTAAACCTGGTTCAGCAAGCAATGCAAGCTTTAACAGACTTCATTTTTACTACAGTGTTATTCAACTCTGTTAAATCTTGAAACCGAAAAAAATTACTCCCCAGGCTCAGCTGACAGTGTCTGCTGAGCGTTCTTAGGAAGGGGATGCTGAGGCACATGCTAGAAGCAGGAGACACAGTGTCTGGCCTCTGTAGAGGGTGCTCAGTCACTCCGGACACTGTCCTCAGTAGGGCCGAGCACTCCTTCTGCTCTCTTCTATCAGCCGTAAATCCCAGGCCGGCGCTCAGCCCACTCTCCCTCAGCACCCGGGCTTTCCTCTCTGCCCCTTCCTCCTGGTGGCCTCTTCCCAGAAGAAGGGTGTCCTCCGGGAGCATGGGCTGGGGCCACCAGTGCCCCCTCTGCCACCTCTGCTCGTACCTGGGCGGTTTCCTCCTTTGGCGAGCCCTGGGCTCCTCATCTCTTTAAGTGAAGACAAAAATACTGTTTTGAGGATTATTTTTGAAGTATTGTGCATGTCCTCAAGATAGACTGAATAGATGCGGCTACAAGTGTCACCCCCTTCTTCAGAGCCCACCCAGAAGCCCCCACACAATGGAGCACCCCCCTCCCGCCCTGAGCCCCAGGCCTGCCCTGCTCCCAGGGAGGTGTCACTCTGCTCTTCCGGGACCACACATCTCACCAGGATGGGGACCCTGGTGCACAGGGTTCCGGGAGTCCAGGGCTGGGAGCATCAGGTGTCAGTGGTGATGAGCTTCCATGCGGTGGCTGTGAGGGTTCTGTGTGTGAGTGAAATGGCGGGGCGGGGCGGGGGGGCTGCATCACCATCCTGTTAGCACGTTCCTGTGCCACGAGGGTGGAGAGGATGGCTTGCCCCACAGCTCTCAGCTTGGCCCCCGACACCATGTGCATGGTCACACAGTCATTGTTGAACTGGGGTAATTCAGGAAAAATCTTATCTCCTTGTTTTAGAACAAACTCACAATGTTGGACATTGCATCAAATAGAATCAAAAAGATTGAGAACATCAGCCATCTAACAGAACTGCAGGAATTCTGGGTAAGTGGATACATGCTGGGGTGGATGTTGCTTCCGCTGAAATGGTGCCTCGGAGCAGGGTGCCGTGAGCAAGGGCAGGGGCGCCAGCCTGGAGCCCCCAGGAGGGTGAGGTGGGCGGGCACCGTCGCGGAGTTTGGTGTTGGCTTTGTCTGTGCGTTGGCGTCACCCAGGAGCAAAATCTCAGGCCCCACTTTACTCCAGATGGGGAGACCCTGGAATTGCCAAACCCAGCCCAGGAGCTCGTGCATTCAGTGTGCACGTGCCCCACAGAAGTAGAAGTCGGCTGGGTTTGTGCAGTCTGTCCTCCTGGAATCTGCCGAGTCTTCTCTGATGTGTGGTTTTGGGGAGTCGTGTCGCAGAGCCAATAAGAAGCAATAGGAAGAGAAACAGGATGTAGGAAGTCTTAACTTTTTGACTCCACTAAAGGCATTGCAGAATGATCCCTGAACTGAGACCCTCCGCATCAGATCCCATGGGCATGTGTGCTGCCCGTCCCCAGGCTGGCGGCCCCGCAGGGATCCCTGCACACTCTGACCCTGTGATGCTGTGAGCTGAGTGTTGTCCGGGATGTGCTCCATCTGACCAGAATTTGTGCTGAATCTAAGGCGGGATCCGTCCCCATCTAGGCATGCTGCTGACCCTGCTCACATCCTGTATGGTTTTCTTTCCTCGTCTTAAAATATCAACAGGTCGCCTGCTGTGAAAATGTCCCCAGCCCCTTGTTAATAGCACTGGGTCTTAGGTAGTGTCAGGTTGTGATGCCAGAGCAAATCTGGGGACACCAGACCCAGAATTAGAGAGGTAGGAAAGAAAAGGGTCTTGGGCCAGGGGCACCAGCGAGCCACCATAAGCCCAGTGGGTCTAGTGTGCGGCCCACCCCTGCAGGAAGGTGCAGCTGGGGATAGGCTGCTTGGACCAGAGCAAAGGGGTTTGGCTTGAAGGGGCCAGGGAACCCCACAGAGAAACCCACTGACAAATGAGGAACCCAGGGGCAGAGGGCCTGGGTGACAAGGACACTAGCTGATCCTGAAGCAATGTTTCTGAAATGTGTGATTCCTTCTCCGTGCCCTGCCAAGGGACAAGCGTATGGGACATGGGGTGCTGAGACCACAGGTAGGGCCCGGCGGGGTACCCCGGCCATCAGGGAGGCAGGCAGGCTGGCAGTTGCTCGAACCTGGAGCTCTCTCTTCTGGTCTCCTGATCACAGCAACCCTGTGAAGCAGGTGGGATTGTGCGTTCCAGGAGGGGAGGTTGCAAACCAGGAGCTCTCAAACCCTTCTGTGCTCGTATGCGGTGTGCTTAGCTGTTAGCTAGTCTCTGAAGGAGAAATGGGAAGCCAGTCCTCATAAATTTTTAATCACCCAAATTCTGTGTTTTTTGATGTTCTATTTGTTCTGCCAATTACCAACAGAAGGATGTTGAAATATCCTAGCCATACCTGTGGATTTGCTTTCTCCTTTCAGCTCCATCAGCTTTTGCTTCTTGTATTTTGAAGGTTTTTATTAGTTGCATAGACATGTAGGATTTGTAGTGTCTTCTTGAAGCATTATCTTTTCATCATATGGAATGTCCCTTTTCTTCACTGCCCTCTGTTTTTGTTCTGAGGTCTACGTCCCTGTGTTAATCTGGCTACTCTTTCTCCTGATTACTATTTCCATGGGTATCTTTCTCCATCCAGTTACTCAACCTGTCTTCATTCATAATAAGTAAAATGTATCTCTCATAAACAACACAGGAGTTTCGCTTTTTTACCCAGTCTGACCCATCTCTGCCTTCAAGCGAGGTGTTTACCCTACTTATATTTAATACAATTACATTTACTTGCATTCTGTGTCATGGTTGGGTTTAAATCTGCCATCTTGCTATTTGTTTTTTATTTGTTCCTTTATCTCTCTTTTCCTGCCTTTTTAGATTGGGAAAAACGGTGTTGTTTTGGGGATAGTCCATTTTATTTCCACTGTTGACATATTTGCTTATATCTGCGTGCTTGACTTTTAGTGACTATTCTAGGAATCACAAAGTATATTTTTAAGTAACCACAGTCTGCCTTCAAGTAATATTACAGCACATCACATATAACGTAAGGCCCTTCCAGGAGCACGCTTCCTTTCCTCTCCAGCAGCTAATATTGGCTTATGTTTTACTTTTAATAGGTTATAAACCCCGTGATACGTCGCCGTATCAGTTATCTCTTAAGAAAATTAAATTTTTTTTTTTTTTAGAGAGCGTGCATGTGGGTGGGGAAGGGCAGAGGGGAGAGGGAGAATCCCAGGCAGGCTCCACGCTCAGTGCGGAGCCCGACTCGGGGCTCGATCTCACGGCCCTGAGATCATGACCTGAGCCGAAACCAAGAGTCAGATGCTTAATGGACTCAGCCCCCCAGGCGCCCCAAAGGAAATTTAGTAACAAGAAAACCCACTTGTTTTACCATTTCTGGCATGTTTTAGTCTTCTGTACAGTTTGCACTGTAGCGTTTCCCTCCCACCTGAAGAATTTTAGCATTTTTATTGTGTAGCATATGCTGTGAGCCAGTTCTTCCAGCTTTGATTGATCTGGAGAAGCCGTTTTGCTTTGCTTTCATTCTTGAAGGGTAGTGTTCACACAGCGTCTGGGGGCTGCCCTCCATCGCTGTGAACTCGCCCCAGGCCCCATTTTGAGCTGTTTCTGACGGGAAGTGGTTCGTCGTTTTTGTCCTTGTGTGCAGTGCGGCTTTCTCCCTCCGGCTGCTATTTTATGTTCCTTTTATCACTTGTCTTTCTTGCCACTTGCATGTCATGTGCTATTGAGCTTTTTGGGTCTCTGAGTGTATAGTTTTCAAAGTCAAATGCAGAAAACTTTTGAAAATAATTTCCTCGAAAAATTTTTCTGCCCCTTCTTCCCCCAGTTTCTTCCTAAAACTCCCAGTGACGCGTACGTTGTCCAGCGCTTGGCAGTGGGGCTGCTGGCTTTTATGTTGCGTGCTCCCATTTGTATGACTTCTGCTCCCGGGTCAGACGTCATGATCTTCTATTCTGCAGCATTCACGTGCTGTTAAGCTCACATACTCAGCTTTCTCTCTCAGATGTTGTATTTTTCAACTCTAAAACAAATTTGGTTCTCTTTTTGTAGATTCTGTTTCTCTCCTTACGTGTGTGTTTCCCTTAAAGCCTTTCTTTTTCACATGGCTCGTGATTTTTGTATTTGCTGTTGGCCATTAGGATTATAAGTTATTGGGGACGCCTGGCTGGCTCAGTCATGAGAGCATGCGACTCTCATCTCGGAGTTGTGAGTTCAAGCCCCATGTTGAGCGTAGAGATTACATAAAAATAAAATATCTTAAAAAAGAGAGAGAGAGATGTTCAGTTATTGACTCTCTGGATTTTTGTTGTTTTCCTTTAAAGTATGTTGTACTTTTTATCTGGCAGACGATTGAGGCACCCCTTGATCCTTTTGAGACTTGTTTGCAGCTTTATTAGGGTGAGTCTGAGAAGCCTGTCCTCGAAGGGTTCTCTGCTCTGTTTCTAGGCTGTGATCCATCCTGGGCATCTAGTGAATGCCCCAGGCATTTAGTGAGGTCTCTGCCTCTGGTTGGTGGGCGCACAAACATGTCCTTTCCCTGCATGAGCTCGGGCCTTGTCCGGCTCATGGCCTCTGGCAGCTGCTCCTGGGCCGATCCACACTCAGCTTTCAGTCCAAGATTCCAGGGGACACTAGGTGCACCTCTGAAGCTTTTTTCCCTACATAGCTCACTCCTCTCCAGGAACTCCAGCTACTTCTGCCTCTCCAAACTACAGTCCCTGCCTCAACTCAGAGTGGCCAGCAGGCTATGCTTGGGCTCCCCTGTGGTCCACAGAGGGCCTCCAACAGAAGGCCAGATGGGCACAGAGCTCCCCTCCCTTGTTTTCCTGCTCTTGGGAGTCCCTGTCCTGTGTTGCCCTTTGTCCAACATACACAAACCGCGGTTTCATGGGATTTGTCCTATTTTCTAGCTTATTACAGAAAGGCAAGTCCAGCTCCAATTACTTCCTCCCTTGAAGTAGAAGTCCTGTCTCTTTACTTACTTTCATTTTTCTGTCTCACTCACCTACTGCAGTGTGTAAGCTTCGTGAGGGCAGAGGAATCTATTTGCTCACTCTTACATCCTGGCCCCTAGAACAGTGCCTGGCACACTTGAGGCTTAGTAAGAGGAAGGAACTTCGAGGGGAAGTTGGTTAGTTGGACAGAGACCAACTGTAGATACCATTGGAAAACATGCTTGTGGATATATGTGAACTAAAGGTTAATATCCATATATTAAACACAGCTCATCCAGAGGTGCCACTGGAAAACAAGAGGGTAGAGGGGCACCCAGGTGGCTCAGTTGGTTAAGCGTCTAACTCCTGATTTCAGCTCAGGTCCTGATCTCACAGGTTGTGGGATCAAGCCCCATGCGGGCTCCATACTCGACAGGAAGTCTACTTGGATTCTCTCTCTGCCTCTGCCTCTGCCCTTCCCCCTGCTTGTGCTCACTCTCTTGCTGCGTCTCTCTCAAAAATAAATAAAATCCTAAAAAAAAAAAAATGGGGTAGAGCATGAACAGGCAAGTCACAGAGTGAAAAGTAACAGTTGCTTGAAAATACATAAAGCATTTTCTATTTCATTAATTTTTAAAATACACTAAAACAGTGAGATGTGGCGTTTTGGCTTCAGACTGGCACCAGCCTTTGCTGGAATGTGGTCTGTGCTGCGGCAAGTGCTCCCTGGATACGCTGGCGGGACTCTCGTCAGCACACGGGTCCTGTGGAGTCTTCAGGGCCTCAAGACCCTAACAGATTGCTGAGAAATTCAAAGATTTATGTACAAAATACTTAACTATCAGGATTCGTTGTTTTACAATGGCAATAGCTTTTGTTGTATTTTCTAATGATAAAGTTTATCTGTTCATTGTAAAAAAGAAAAAGATCAGATTACAAAGAAGAAAGACAAATCTGTCTTTTCCTTGCTCTTCTGTGTTGGTGTCCAGTTTAGAAAAGATTATAAAC